GGACCGGGGCAGACCATAAAATGTGTACAGTCCTCCTGCCTCTCAGGAAGAAACCAGATCAGGGAAGGGTTCTGTATAAATTAAATACATCTCTGTTATCACAGGATAACTTTAAAAAATATTTAACAGATGTATAGGAATACTGACACTCGACGACGGATAGACAGGATTCCTACATCTCTTGGTTCGAGAATGGATTGTGCTTCCTTGCACGAAAATGCAATGAATTTTCTAAATTACAAGCAAAAAAACAAGCATTCTCAAGAAATACAAATTCAGGAACAAATCTTTAATTACGAATCTCAGGATCATTCCAATGACTCTTCACAAATTATCAATATCCAAGAACTCAAGAACCAACTTTTGTCATTTGCACAGCACCGTTGGCAAGGACAGTTAATTAAAGGCAAATTGTCGAAATTCACATCAGAAGGACAAATGGATACATTTTCTTTTGCTATGGCTCAATCACGAGCGAAACGTTCAATTATAAATAACCTGTGTAATCATAACACTCCACAGGAGCCAGCGGTGCTATAATTTTCATCAACAAGTTTGAAAGTAGTCTATGACTACTTTAAAGAGTTATTTAAATCGTCTAAAGACACATCCCATACTCAGGAAGATGATCGAGCTATTCGCCTTTTCTTGGAACCAATGTTCTAGTCCATTACCTGTGAACAACGTGACAGTCTAGAAAAACCTCTAACAAAAGATGAAATTTGGACGGCATTAATACAAATGGAGGAAACCGGGAGCAGACGGCATTAATACAAATGGAGGAAACCGGGAGCAGACGACCTCCTTAAGGAATTTTGGGAAACCATGTGGTCTGTCCTTTCTCCTGATTTAATGCAGTATTTTCGAGAGGTCTAGGAATCAGGTGAAATTGGGGAGATAGTGACTCAAGGTATACTCACACTACTATATAAAAAGGGGGATAAATAAAACATAAGAAATTATAAACCAATAACCTTACTAACAGTAGTATACAAGTTACTAGCAAAAGCCTTTGCGAATCGTATGATTCCTGTGATGCGTGACATAATTCATCCATCTCAAACAGGATTTATAAATGGTCGTCACTTTCAAGATAACATCTTTTTAATTAATGAAATGGTCAAAGTTGTGCGATAATCTAAGGAAAATACGGTAAGGGTCTTCATAGACTTTGAAAAATCTTATGATCATGTCGATTGGCGATTCTTGGACGCCTGCATGCAAAGGCTGAATTTTGGACCAAATATGCGGAGATGGGTTAAAATTCTTCACATAAATGCAACCACACGAATTTTGGTAAATGGACTGCTATCTTCGGAAATCCATATTCAGAGCTCAGTTAGACAAGGAGACCCCTTGGCCCCTTTCCTCTTCGTGATCGTGATGGAGGCTTTGGGGGCCAATCTAAGAGCTAATCATAATATCAAACGTCTATCTATCTCAGGTATACCAGAAGAGGCAATACCAATAGCCTCAATGTTTGCAGATGATTTAACGATCATTATGGAGGCCTCATAGACAAATATGGAAGAAATAAAAAATCCGCTAGATAAATTCTCTGCACTTTCAGACATGATGGTTGATTGGGGAAGTAAAGCGCAAGGGTAGTGGATCCACTCAAATGGAGTCCGCCCTCCTGAAGTCCCCAAGGTACAATGGTTCCCCCTGGACGTCCCGCTGAGAGTGTTGGGAGTATCTCTATCAGCATCAGGTAAACCCGTATCCAACGATGAATGGATTTCGAAGCCAGCGATACAAAAGATGAATCAATAGAAGAACCAACACACCCCGTTATTGGAAGAGCATTAGTAATAAATAATGTTATTATTGCTTCCATATGGTACAAATCAACAATATGGGTCATTAGTAAACCACGAACCAAACACCTTCAAAAACAGGTGACGACCTTTCTTTGGAGAGGGAACCATGAGCTCGAGAGAGTGATCCCTAGAGTAGCATGATCCACCCTCATTCAACCAAAATCTAGGGGAGGGATAAAAATTCTGGACCCTACCCTACAATGTCAAGCCTTGTCACTCCAATGGATGATTGATCTTATTTTAGGTATTGACAAGCCTTGACAACCCTTGGCTCTTCAACAAATTAGAAAAATGACGCCGATAGCACCAGGGTTGTCAGGCGGGGGCCCCCGGGGGCAAAGTCGGGGTAGGGGTTCGACCCCCGGACCCCCGCCGCCGGGGTGCCCCACCCCCGCCCACCACAAAAC